GGCGTGGGAGGCACTTCCGGGAAGAAGAGGCGCTGCGGCCGCCATGTTGAGTGTGGCAAGGAGGGCGTGGCAGAAGAGGCCCCGCCCCCGGAAGGGGCCCAGGCGTCCGGGACCACGCCCAACCCCCTCCCCCCACACGACACAAGACACGTGGGGTTTTTTTGGGGTCAGAAACGACAATTTATTTAAAATCTTCCTCGCGTTTTTCACCCTCGGCCGCGGGGGAGGCGCCACCTGCAACGGAATAGGGCGAAATCCTGAGAAAATGGGAAAAAATGGGGGGCAAAAATGGGAAAATCCCCCCCGTCCCCTCCCCCCAGGTCCCCTCAGACCCCCCCGGAGGGTCAAGGCCCCCCCGGGGGGGGCACTGACGTCATCAGGGGGGTCAGCGCCCAGTGCTGCCATCACGGGGGACCCCCCAGCCGTTTTGGGGCTGTTTCCCCCTCTTTCTGTCCCCTTTTTTCCCATTTCTTCCCCGTTTTGGGCCGTTTCTTTCTTTCTGTCCCTATTTTCCTCCTTTTCCCCACTTCCTGCCTGATTTTTGCTGTCTCTCCCTTTTTCTGTGCCAATTTTCCCCGATTTTTCCCATTTTTTTCCCATCTTTCCCCATTTTCTGCCCATTTTTGGCAATTTCTTCTCTCCTGTCCCCATTTTCCCAATTTCCCACCTGTTTTTTGCCTGTTTCCCCCTCTTTCTGTCCCCATTTTCCCAATTTTCCCCGTTTTTCCCCATTTCCTGCCTGTTTTTAGCTGTTTTCCCTCCCCTCTCCCCATTTCCCACTCATTTTTTTGCTGTTTCTCCCTCTGTCCCTGTTTTTCCCCATTTCCTGCCCATTTTCAGCTGTTTCCCCTCTCCTGTCCCCATTTCCCACTCATTTTTGGGCTGTTTCTCCCTCTGTCTCTATTTTCCCCATTTCCTACCCATTTTTTGCTGTTTTTCCCTCTTTCTGCCCCCCATTTTCCCATTTTTCTCCCGTCTTTCCCCATTTCCTGCCTCTTCTCAGCTGTTGCCCCATTTCCTGCTCATTTTGGGGCTGTTTCTTCTTTTTTCTGTCCCTGTTTTCCCCATTTTCTGCCCCCGTTTTTTGCTGTTTCTCTTTCTGTCCCCATTTTCCCATTTTTCCCCCGTTTTCCCCTTTTTCTGCCCATTTTTGGCTGTTTCCTCTCTCCTGTCCCCATTTTCCCCATTTCCCTCCTGTTTTTGGCTGTTTCTCCCTCTTTCTGTCCCCGTTTTCTCCATTTCCTGCGCTTTTTTTTGCCGTTTCTCCCTATTTCTGTCCCCATTTTCCCATTTTCCCTATTTCCTGCACATTTTCAGCTGTTCCCCCTCTCCTGTCCCCACTTCCTGCTCATTTTTGGGCTGTTTCCCTCTCTCCCTATTATTTTCCCCATTTTCTGCCCCTTTTTTGCTCTTTCTCCCTCCTTCTGTCTCCCTTTTCCCCATTTTCCCCCATTTTCCCATTTCCTGCCCGTTTTTGGCCGTTTCCCCTCTCCTGTCCCCACAGGCCGCCGCCTGTTCCCCTCTCGGTGTCCTGTCCCCATCCCCGTCTCCCTGTTCCTCTCGGTGTCGCTGTCCCCTCTCACTGTGTCACCGCGTCCCCAGTGTCACCCATTCATTCCCCACTCAGTGTCACCCGTCCAATCCTCGTCACCGTCTCCGCCTGTAGCGCCGCCTGTTCCCTTCTCGGTGTCCTGTCCCCATCCCTGTCTCCCTGTCCCCTCACTGTGTCCCCTCCCACCGTGTCACCGTGTCTCCGCTCGGTGTCACCCATTCAACCGTCACCGTCTCCGCCTGTAGCGCCGCCTGTTCCCTTCTCGGCGTCCTGTCCCCATCCCCGTCCCCCTCGGTGTCCCTGTCCCCTCACCGCGGCCCCGCTCGGCGTCACCCGCTCAGTCCTCGTCGTCGTCGTCGCCGCCTGTGCCGCCGCCTGTTCCCTTCTTGGCGTTCTTGCGCTTGACGCGGCCGGGGCGGCCGCCGCCGTAGGGCGAGCGCAGCGAGAAGTCGATGTGTTTCTGCGAGTCCAGGCGCACCACGAACGACGGGATGTTCACAACCTGCTTACGGACCCTGCGGGGACAGGCGGCCGCGCTGACCGGGTGACGGGGACACCGGGACGCCCCGCGGGGACACCGCAGTGATGGTGACAAGGCGACGGGGACACCGGGACGCCCTGGGGGGACAGGCGGTGACACTGACAGGGTGACGGGGACACCGCGGCGACAGGGTAACCGGGACACCAGGACACCCTGAGAGAACACCGCGGGGACAGTGACAGGGTGGCGGGGACACCGTGGTGACGCCGACGGTGACACCAACACTGAAGGAAAGAGAGGGACCCTGAAACACCCTGCGGGGACGGGGTGTTCACAACCGGCTTGCACACCCTGCGGGGACGGGGACGGTGACACTGACGGGGGGACAGGGTGAGAACTGGGGGAAACAGCCCCGGAGGAACCACACTGCCCGAGCCTGGAGGACCTACAGCCGCTGGAGGACCTACAGCCGCTGGGACAGGGCGAAACAGCCCCTGGAGGACCCACAGCCCCTGGAGGACCCACAGCCCCTGGGACAGGGTGAACAGCCGCCGGAGGACCTACAGTCCCTGAACTCAGTAGACCTACTCTTGCAGAACGTACAGTGCCTGTAATGGGGTGAAACAGCCCCTGGAGGACCTACAGCCCCTTGGAGGACCCACAGCCCCCGAACCGGCACAGAACAGCCCCTGGAGGACCCACAGGCCCCTGGAGGACCCACAGCCCCCGAACTGGTACAGAACAGCCCCTGGAGGACCCACAGCCCC